CAGGGACAAGGACCTGTACCACTGTCCTTTCTGAGTGCCCCAAGCACCAGTCCCCAGAGCCATGCTCCCCTTCTCCAGAAATCTCCCATTTCTGCTATGTAACAGAAGATAAGAGTAAGGAGCAGCCAATGCCCAGAAGTGCCTCCAGCCTCATGGATAAAAGCTGCACGGACAAGGATCCCCCGCTGTCAGGGCAAGTGCTCGAGTACATTTTCTATGCAGGTATCATCATCCAACTACACTTTCCATAGGAGTCCCAGTTTCTCTTTCATGAAAGCTGAGTATTTACCCTCTTATTTTCCTGTTAGCTAGTGCCCAGCCCGTGAAGAAATAATCTCTCCCTCACCTAGCTGAAAATGCATTCAGAGGACCAGCAATCCGACAAGTCTGTCACCAGACAAAGACTGAACGCGCAGTAAAACCAGTTAAGCATGCAGTAAGTTTAGAGCGGGTTTCTGAACTAAATCTTCATTCAGTGGCCCATGCTGCACCAGCTCCAGCAAACTTCTTCCCAGAACGCTGTACACCATGACATGGCTGCAGAGGAACTGTACGAATTTGAAGAAGAGCTATCAGAAGCTGTTACAGTAAGTTTAAGTAATTTTACTTTTTTTAAAACGCAGAAAAATATAAACATTTAAAACAGAAGTGCTTTTTAAGGCATTGAGCTCAACCAGTCCCACAGAAATCTCCTTTTGTATCACCATTAACCACTGAGAGGGTTAGGGGAGGCAATCCAGCCACCACAGACTTCCTCCTCCTCACTGTATTCCAAGACAAGATGGGCACAGAAACATTGTCTACTACAGAGCCACAGCCAGTTACACAGATAGGCTCACTATAAATAAACAGGTTTTATACCAATACCTTTAGGCTTGTGTGGTAATGACCAGCAGTGACAGGCTGGTCATTAAGTTGAAATATAAACTCGACATTAATTACAATGTTAAAATATTTTAATACTGAAGGTGAGATCTGAGAACAGTTTTCTCACACACGAAGGTGTACAGCGACATGCATAAGTAATACCCTTGAACAAAGATATATTCAGCCTCTCATCAGAGAGGGTGACAACTACCTTCTCCATGTAAAAAATAGGTGAGCATATACTCTGTCTTTCTGTTTATTATTATTATTATATATATACCTTTTACATATGTATATATAAACATACACATTCTGTATGACTGTTCATACATTTCTGTAACCACTGTGATTGTGATACATGATTAAGTTATTATGAACTTTGGAAACACGGTAATTCTTCAAAGCATCTTCATTTGTGGGATTCATTTTCTTCATTGTGTCCAGTGGTTTTGATGTCACACCTCACTCCCTACTCTACTACCGCTTTTTCTCCTCTCCAAACCCTTCCTGAAGACTGAACTGTATTTAAATACAGCTGAAAAGGCAGCAGAGGAAGAACTTGGTACCCTTTAACTTACAAATGTTATACAAAAGTGACCCAGGTAGGACCACTGGGTCAATGCTAAAAACTTGCAGATAGTCAGGAGTAACACACAGTTCTGAAATAGATCCCTCCACTTCCTGCCTTCCTACTTATTAATAGCCAACAGTGATCCATGCAGCAATGGGGGAAGAAACTGGGATAGAATTTCAGTTCTTTATTTGTGTCAAGTATATTCAGCTTCCAAAGAGTTTTAAAAAGGAGAAAAACAGAAAACACAATATATACCTACAGTGTCACAACCATTAAAGAAAAAGATTGTAACATCATACAGTTGAATCGGCACTCGAGTGTGGCTGAAGAGAGAAGCGCTACGTAAGGAGCCAAGAGCACTGTCACCGCAGTGCATGAATCTGATCTGGGTGGGGCAACATCCCTGAGCCTGCACTGCAAAGCTATCTAACCTTGGAATACAGGCAGCCAAACCTTAGGAAGGAAGGGATGATGGATAACATGCTGGTTATTCCAATGCTCACTCTCCTCACAGGAACAGCAATCAGCTGTTGGGAGCCATGAACTTCACGCTATCCTAGCACCAAAGGAAGCTGGTCCTGACTGTGAATTTCTCAGACTTTCTTACTCAGAAATAAAATTTCACCACGTTCCTTTATTTTATCAGTCTGTTTCATATATCTGTGCCAATTCACACCATTTCTGCTTGCTGCTTCCCAATTTCAAGAGTTTTTAAACCTAGCAGGTGAGCTGGAGTCTATTCCTATGTATTATAAGACATTATATTTCATCCATTTAACCTACTACTAAGCCTAACTACTCCTCTTTGGGTGTTGTGATCAAACAGGGTATCAGTCTTAATTTGAAGTTATCAGAGGTCCAATTTCATGCTTGGGACTAATCATCCTCACTGCTACATGCTGATGCCTCCTCTCCATTCACCTTTCTAATTTCAGGATGTTGGGCTTTATCTGCCAGATACTGGAGATTACTAAAACTTTCTCCACTACATCAGAAGCACTTCAGTATCAAGTACTTTCTTCCTGTTACTTATATGCCACAGTGATGCCCACCATGGTGTCCCCTCTGTGGTGGGGAATTACTTTGTCCTTCACACGTAAACTTGATAACCTTTAAAGCTGTTCAGCAGTCGTATTTCATTATAGTCTACCAAGGAACCAGGCAAATAATCCAGCTGAGGAGGCTGTCCTCTCGCTGTACCACCCCTCACTGGGATAAAAATCTTCCCACCTTTCAGCAGCTGACTTGGGAGCTGTTCAACACAGATTCTCTGTGCCCCCTAACTCCAGCATCAAACAGAACCATTATCATTTGAGCAGCATTTTACCTTTTCTGCTCTCAGTCCCTAGCAAACCAAAATGATCTGCTCTACAATGCCATTTCTCAGTCCCACCCAATCTCAACAATCAGATCTCTACTCTACAGGCTGTAAGAACTAATTCATTAAGGAACTCACAGTTATAACAAAAAAAAAAACAAAAACCAAAGGCTGGCAAGGACTGGCTGTAGTCAAACAATGCCAGAAGAGACCATCTGGCCACCTCATTTCATTGCAAAAAATCAGTTTCCTCCCAAGGCAATACGAAACCATCCAAAACAGAACCTGCAAAACCCAGCTGATGGGAAACACCTGCTTTACACTGTGCACACACTAGTAACTTCTGAGCTTATGCTGCTGCCCAGATAAATGTGTCCTTGTTAAAAAAAAAAAAGACCCTAAACCAAATTTACACAAGAATGTAGGTCGAATGGCTTTGTCTGTGTGTATCTACTTACTGCACACATTTTTCTGATAGAACTTCTATCCCTTATCAGGGAAACACAAAGAAGAGCTACTAAGGGAAAGAAGGCAGATGGTGACAAGACAGCAAAGGTCGTAATGAGATCTCTCAAAGCAGACAAAAGGAAGCTGTCTAAAGCTTAAGATTGTATTTTTTCAGCCTTTTCTCCTGGCATCAGCATGTAAAAATAGATTTCAACAAATGCCAGTAGCAGAGAATAAAAAAATCCAAGTACATGCAAACACATAAATAGCACTAAAAAAGTTTTTTTTGTTATAGTGTTTGGGTTTGGTTTGGGGTTTTGTTTTGGGGTACTTTTTCTTCTAATATTGCAAGCACCTGTCTGTTAGCCATCTCTGGTGACAACTCCTTCCAAGACAGCTACACCACTGATGCAGCAGTCAGCGTGTGTCAGATTTCTTTCATGGTTGCAGCGAAGTGTCGCTTCCCATCTAAATACAACATGGACTCTGAAATAAGGTGGAGAAGAGAACCACATTAGTAACTTACTATCAATACTGGGCAACTACACAGAATGGCAAGATTAAGAAGCAATCCACACAGTCAAAGCATAAAATAAATGTGGTTTGCCATTAAATCCTGCTAAATTATTCAAATGCCAATAGTTCACCTATTAAAATGACCAGTGTTCCAACAGAAAGCAAGTCATCTTGTCCACAGAGTTATGATGACAATGCATTAATTGGATACTTGCCTCCATAAGTTTTGGGGACAACCTGTGGGACCTCATTTTCTGACACAAAGGTGAAATGGAAGATATTGGTTGTCTGGTGCTCCCTGGTATCTGCATCATAAACCTCACTGTGTACTCGAACCTGGATGTAGTTTTTTTCTGTGTAACAGACCTAAGCAGTTAAGATAAAGAGTAACAGTTCATAATTTACCACTGGTGCTGAAAAACTGTAACAGACTTCATTGCACATTGCAAGAAAAGTCACACACTCTCACGATGCACTCACTGTTCATTATCAGTGATGCACATTGACTAAAGCAAAGATAAGCTTTCCTTCTTTTCAAAAAAGAGTCAACTCCTACCTGTGCAGAAAGCAGTAATAAGGATCCCACCTCAACTGGCCTCTGAAACATGATGTCGTCAACAGATACGATAAAAGGTCTGGAACCCCTGAGCAAGAAAAAGAGAAATTTCTTCTCAAGAATAATGAGGGTGTTTGGGGAAATTTTAAATATTTCATTGTCAGCATTATAATGAAAGGTTACTAAAAAATAGATCTCTCTCTTAAACACAAGCCACAGGAAGTGCTAAAGAATTATGTCATCACCCAAGACAAAAATAACTGGAAGCCTCTCACGTGCATAAAAACACACACTCTCTAAGGATATATTATTGCATCATTATTGTATCTTACGACTTCCATCTGTTAGGCAATCTTCACACCATCATTACTCAGTTTTCCAAGCACTGACATAAAACACTTCACTGTCTATCAGGCTACACATGCTCCATTAAACTTATGCACAGATCTTTGCCAGGTGCTGACCTCAGTCACACTAAGTACAAGCTTTCTGTCTCAAAGTTCAGCAACAATTCTTCTTGAGTACAGAATGAAAAGATGTAATATTTATTTGATAGAATGTCTATTTTATATGGTTGGAAAGAAAATGTATCTTCAAAAGTCAAACTCAATAGCTTGGTAAGATAAAAGAGAACAGAAAAAGGATTATTTTCTATCTTGATATGTAACACTTAAAAACCAAGCTCCAAGAAGCAAGATGCAAATCTCTTCATAAATACAACAGATGCTGTAAGTAAAACAGTGCTGTGCACTAATAGTGCAAGATTCTACTGGAGACTGAGGGTTTTTCTCCTCCTATTGTCATTAGGTTGGCTAGCTTGGCTTCCCAACCTATGTATATGTGCACAGTGCTCTGGATTATATAAATATTGCAGGTCCACAACTCACCCATAGCTGCAAGCAGTTGCCCACCCCAGTTCAAACGCCTTTCTCATGAGAAAACCCCCAAAGATCCTATTGAAGATGTTCCGTTCCTGTATGTAGAAACAAAAGTCAAACTGCTGTTTTACATATATTCTTTTCAAAGCATTGTGTTGAATTCTGCATTTCAGTTTACAGTGTTTAACAGAACTCCCAGCATCTAAATGTATAAAAAGCACTACTGAAATATATATGCAAAAGTTCAAATGGCTGAGGCACCTTTACTCAATAGGAGGTCATCTGAATCATTTGACAACATAAGATAAAAACTCAAAATTGTGTCAGCAACCAGAAGCCCAACTTAAACACTTTGCAAGGGAATTTCTTTACATAAAATGAGTAGTCTGGTAAGGAAACAGGGTAATTAAAAATATTCTATTTTGCAGTGGCAATCCATAGAGATAATTGAAAAATGGCAAAAGAAACTAAGATCTAAATACACTGCAAAGACTGCAGAACCAAAACAAAATAATGGATTGACTAGTCTTACACAACAATTCCAAAGTAACTGTTTCTGTAATTCATTAACATTTTTTCAAAATACCTGAGGATGGCAAATCTGTAGGCCTTTTAGCTTTGCATCTTCCATCCACACTGAATTGGGTGGTAATTTACGACTCCGGAAACTTACTGTCCTTTAGAAGAGACAATAAATTTTACAGCCCACATTAGCAGAATTCAGCAAGTCACAAATGCGCAAACAACACATGTAGACATTCACTTAAAAAACAAACAAACCAAAGAAAACCTCAAAAACCAGAAATGTATCACTAAAAGATGTTCCAATCGACCTTGAAGCCTCATCTAAAGCGATGCTTTGATTTGCTACTGCAATAAGCCTAAAATAATCTTTCAAAAATTTCTGCTCATGTCCAAGCTTATGTGAATGAACAAACTCGAGAAAGGTACACGAAAGAAAAGATAAATCACAACCACAAAGCACACACTTTGCCAGAAAAGCCTTACCCTGTTTGTTAAGTCATAATATGAATTAAAAGCACACAATGAGCTAACAGAGTAATTCAACATCAAACATCCAGACAGTTTGAGATTTTCAAATCCAGACAGAAGGTGTACAAAATAAATCTGCTAATTTTAAGGGAAGGCATGTCTCACTTTGGTAAACAGCTTTAAAACAATTGTATAATGTTAGTAAGTCAAAGAAATTTTAAATTATCCACAAATAAAACATTGCACTAACGTCATTAGGTGTTGTTCTATCACCATTGGCACTGGATGATTTCATACAAAACTCAAGTATAAGAAAATCAGGCCAACAGCAGTCTCCCTCAAATAATGTTGTCAGATATATTTAAAACACATTGCAAGGTTATATGGCCAAAATATGGCAAATTCCTGTCCACACGGGTTTTTTTGCTAGATAACATGGCAGAAAACACCTAGATTGTGCAAGTCACATGGCTGCAAAACCATACCATTCCCTTATTTGGTTAAACATCATTAACCTTTTTCCTCAAGATTATTCATAACAGCTTGCTCAGAAGCTCTTTGTACCAACACTGTCACTTTCACCACCCTTGAACGACAGAAGTCTTTAAAAGGCGTGGAAGTCATATTAAATTTTGTGTTTTAAATAAAATGCCTCAGAATTTAAATCATGACATGAGAAAACAAAATGTGTGCATTTATTCCAGACTACCCTCTTACAAGCACCCACTCAAAAGGCACATTACTTTTCCCTCCCATAAGACTTCAGTTCTTCTCCACCCCACCCCTTCTTGCCTTGTGTCCAATGTATTAAGGAATATGTCATGAACAATGTTTCTTTCTTCTGCCGTGGGAGCCATTTTCAGTAAGGAGGCAGTGCTGAAATCAATCCTCTTCACCTTGTTCACTAAACATAAAAAAAAAAATCATATTAGAGGTCAAACTAAAAATAAACCAACATTTGGCTTGGTTCTGGAGATTTTAACCTGGAATCAGCTGTCTCCCTCCTTTTTTTTTTTCCCCCCTGTAAGTTAAAAGCTGTAACTTCAAAGTCCCACAGATTCAAACAGAAATTTGGCTTTTAGAACTGACTGCATCAAAGAAAAAACAAGGCAGAAAGTTCACTGTTACCTCCCCAATATGATTGAGACCTTTTATACACATACTGTGATACCCACCCACCCACCCATCCTACAGAACACTTAAGTACTCTTATCAAAGTACAGGAAAACATATTAAACAAGAAACCTCACAGAACCAACAATCTTCTTCAGGTTTTGGCAATGGTACAAGAATGCAAATTTATGACAGAACTCATTACTACAGGCCACAATGATTGAAATTTTAGCTTAAAAAAATCTTCTGTTCAATTTATTCAGTCTTTAATGTTTCTCTAATTCTCTGCTTTAAAATTCTAGTTTGAAACGAAAGAAGATGGAGTCACACAGTCCTTCCCCTGCTCTCCCACTTTGTTTTTCTGAATTTCTTTCCAAAAGGAACATGGGCCCCAGACAGGTAAGGAGGTTTGTAGACAGGCAGACCCACTATGGGGGCAATCAATCAACCAGAGCATTAGGTAAGCCTGTGCCGCACTCAGATCTGAAGTGGAGCGAGCATCCTGGGAACAGGGAAGTCTAGGGGGGTGCAGAGGACATCAGGAGTGCCCTTGTCTGTCAGTTTAGCCAAAGCGTTTCCAAGACTGTGGTAGCAGGCTCTTAAACTCTCCTATGCTGCTGACACACGTGAGACAGAATGAAAATCTGATTCTAAACAAATCAGGAGCATCTCTAAGCAGCAGAACTTCTGAAATCTACTTCCTTCCAGCTACTAAGTTGAACCTGAGGCAGATGTGCATACTACCAGGAAGTATGACATACATTCCCCTTGCTTGAAGATTTCTTCTTCCTCAGGGGTCTCCGGAACGAGTGGATTAACAAATGCTGGCCTACAGACAGGAATTTTTTTTAAGTTACAAACATTGTAAGAATTAGTCCTGTGAATATATTATAACAGTCCTCCATGTTTGCTTACATACACGTTACAAGATGAAAAGACATTCACTTCAGGTTATGTGGCAGCTGCCAAAAGAATATCATATTAGCTTTAACTCTGAAGAGGCAGTTAAGTGATCCAACCATTACTTGGTGTAATTGAGAAAGATTAAAAGATGGGTCTGTACTTCTTAAATAGCTAAAACTGTACCCACAGATTATAATTCGGATTATTCAAGCAGAAAGCTGCTTAAAAACCCAGCAAATGAAGATGTGATGATCTAGGGTAGTCTAAAAGAGATACACAAAACTTGAACAGTATCATCCTCCTGGAAGAGAAAGAGCACAGTGCCCCAGCTAGCTAGCAAGTGCTCTCATAAACTACACATTCCCATGACAGCCTTATCAACAGCCAAAAGCTGTTTAACACATGTACTACTTATCAAGAAGATGATATGAGGCTGCCTTGAGTACAAATTTGAATGTTTATTTTACTGCACAAATAAGTTTACTCTAGCCTAATTGTATCATTTAATTATTTCTTTTCACAGGCAAGGCAAATGCTTGTTTTCAACAGCCATTCTTCCCCATAATTTCCAATTATTATTTTGCTAATTATTATTTTTCCAATTATTATTTTTGGTGAACAGTTCACCTCTACCCCAAGCCTTTACTTGGGCTGGTGACAAGAGGCGTGCAGAGAGGACCCTTTCCCTTGGAACAAACTGCTCTTTCCTGGTTTGCTAAAGCTCTGGATTTTGGAGACACACCAGCTCCTTCTCCACCACAGGGCTCATTCTCCCTCGCCTCAGCTCCAAACACATCTACACCTGGTCTCCTGCCCAAGCCCCAGGCTGCTGAAATGCAAGTTTGCTATCGTCCAAAAGCCACACAACCATGTTTCTGTGGTACTGTATCAACCTAACATACCTTGTACCTCTCTGAAAGGTTTTTACCTCACATAGAATAAACGCCCTGCTTATATGGACAGAACGCTTCCAAAACGCAGCTGGCTTGTGGCCATCTGGCTTGAAACTTCTGCCACTGAAGTTTTTATCTATCTGCACAAGTCCACATGGGTTTGTCCTTAGTCAATCTGCTAGTATATAATTGCTGCAGAGTTGATGCAACTCTTTTGCAAAATAAGTCCTTAAAATCTGAACCATAAATATAAGTATATATATATTTAAATGTATAGTATGTTAATGGGTTCTAAAAATATCTCATAAATCTGAAGGAAACCAACCTAAAATAATTACATCAAGCAAAACCCCTTCATTAAACATACATCTCTTCATTAAATACAGTCAATTGTTTAAACTAGTTAGAAACAGAAAATTGCTTATTACTTTTGCAGGCTATACAAGAAAGAGGTAAGAAACACAAGCACTTTTTTCTAGTTCTGGAGTCAAAACTGAAACTGAGCAGCCTGTTAGTTTAATGACTAAGGAATTTACTAAGGAATTACCCAGAGAGTGAAATCTGAAAAATAGGAAAGTTCATTTTGTTTAGTTCTGTGAGGATACTGAGCAGAGCTACGTTACTTACTTAACCAAGTTTTAGGTTGAGTTATTCTGATGGCACCTGTCAAGTGTCTACCAGGGAATTAATGGTATGATTCACTCAAAGGCTATTTAACCATTAGGACTCAACCTTTTCACTTTTATAGGGCAAGAAAGCAATTAATTCTAACAATGAGTGTAGAATGCGGGTGAGTTTCTAGCCAAATCATTCACTTCTATGCTCATCAGGCCAGTCATTCAAACACAGGGAAAATGTGTTAAAGAAAAGGGTTAGATCCCAAGACTGACAGCAATTCCTACTATCATCTGACTCCTGAAATCAATGATCTGAAGCTTGCCCCAGGAAAGTAACACAGCAGAAAACATCAAGGATGTGATTTATTTACCACCTACGCTATATGGTTTCTACACACACATAGCAAGCTGCCATGTTCATTATTTTTACCACAGCAGGAGTCTGAAGACTGTTTTCTTGTCCTACAAATTACCGTTTATTTTCGGGATCCCGGGCCACCATGACAAAGGTTGCATCCAACACAGGGCTGTAATCGCCATCGTGTAGCTAAGAGAGACGGGAAACAATTATATTTTCAAACTCTAAAACTGTAAATGTGCTCAGCAATCTACTCAGTTGACATCAACTATGACATCATACTGTTAAAGTTGTTTACTTTCGCTTTCTGTCTCCCCTTCCAAGATCTCTCTCAATTGGTCAAATAAGGAAATAACACAAATTAAAACTCTTGTTTCAGGAATTCTGCAATGTAAACAGTAAGCAGGGAATGCTTATTAACTGCTAGTTTCAGCTTGGGGGCGGGAGGAAATCAACACATTCCTTGTAAAAGGACCCACGTTCCCTTTATTCTGAGAAATGCCAAAACAAGGATTTGCTGCCAAAACCAAATTGCTGCCGATGCCAGCACCAGCAGGAGTTCAGATGACAAAGGTGTAACATTATCTTCTACACCAGAGACTCTACTTAAGGAGATAAACTGAATCAAAAAATATTTACCTGTCTATTTGAATTATAGCCACTAACACCACTTAGGTGTTTACAGTGTATCTTTGTTACTCTAAATAATTCAATTACTGAATTAATGTTTAAGTTAACTAATCAACTGACAGTAAACTGTTAACAGAAACATCAAGGATTTTTTAATTGAATTATTAATAATCCTTCTGCTTCCTGCAGAGTGTAGGCTGCTTTCCCCTTCATTTAATTTATTTCCTGTTATTTAGTATTTAATAACTTTAATTTCACAGTAGACAAGATGAACACAAGAGATACAATTTTATACTGAATCTGAATACCAACGTTAAAATTTATAAATCTATAAAATGCATAGATATAAGGAAAATAAAGTTTTTCAAAAACAGAGAGAAACTTATTTAAGAAAATACAGAGCACAACCACCTATTTTTTCTGTAGGTGTACTGTGTTCCAGTTTAATTACAAAATGCTGGTTAAAAAAAAAACGCATATCTTGACAGAAAGATTAGCAACAGAGTATCTTGCTGCACCTGAACTTTTGGAAGTCATCTTGGTCTTGAAACACTAGGCTGTTTCAAGCCCTTCAAAAACAGTTGTTCTAGAAAATATAATGTAGACTGCTACTGTCATCACCCAGAATTCACCCTGAAGCATGTCGAGACTGTCACAGGATGGAGAGAAGTCACAGGAACTAACCTGCAGCATGTGCATCTTCACTTCCATCGAGGTCCTTCCAACCCAAGAAACATTTCCTGTGAATTTGATGTCACAGTCTGGATATATAATCTTCTTGCACAAATCTACGAGATAAACATGAGAGGTTACTGGAGACATCTAACATTACAAAGACTGGATTCTCTAAGACCTTTTCCAGCTCTGTGTGTGGCAACACACGCAAAGACAAACCCAGAAAAGGCAGCTGCTGCCAGGGCCCGCACTGCCAGCCCGCAGTTCGCACCTTATCAGAGTTCTAAAGCCGGAGCAGGGGGAGGAAGTAGACGTACAAGTGGCAAACGGATGGCAGACCCACAGAGGTGTCCAGCAGAACATGTGACACAAGTGAGGTCCAGCTCCAGCAGAAAAAACACTGTTCAATAATGAAGCTAAGAAACTCGCTTGCTAAAATAGAACCAAACATAGATGTGTAGGAAGCATGAAAGCCATGCTTTGAAAGGAAGGGAAATATGAAATGCTGAAAAGCATCTACAAAGCCCTCTTCCCTTCTCCCTTCAACAAAAGCCACAGTAATCAGAGTTCAAAGCCAAAACAAGATAAAGTGAACTAAACAGGAGGGGGAAGAAGGTATCCTCAGTAGCAACCATGGAAAGGCAGTAGCTACTGAAAGAGTAAGGCAAACAGATGAAAACATTTCTGCTGATCAAACTGCCACTTACTGATTTTATCCACCAGGGCTGTAACTATCGACAGGGGAGACCTTGGCTGCCCTTCCTGCTTGGTGTGAGTGTAGCAAATAAGAACTGTGGAGAGACCAAAAATGGGAGTTAGCTCTCGGTTCTCCTACACTTTAACAACAACTTCAGTGGAGCAGAGCAAAGCCATCTTTGTGAAGCACGAGAAGTACCTGCCAGACTAAAGCACCATATTGTAGGAGTGCACACAACTTCCACATTTCCATGTATGTGACTCATAAGATTGCTATAAAGGAAACAGTGATTTAACAGCTGTCTCAGCTACGTGCATATCTACTACAAAGAGAAACTTAGCTGGGCACTTTAAATCAACCCATTGCTCCTTTACTTCCAATTCCACTTAATCTGTTCCCTTTACCCCTGCAGCCCACCACCTCAGATCCTTCCTGCCTCCTATTTTGATTTCATGCAGGTTGTCCAAGGATATGTGCTATGTGGGAACTTATTTTCAAATACTGATTCCTTTAAAGAGATGTAGATTAGATAAACTGTGCCTTACAGGCATAAAAGCATAGTCAGAGGTATTTATCACACTGTAATTACTACTAGCCCAACCACTATCTAAATTAATTAGCTCTGCTTACAAGAGCACATCCAAGTAAACAGACTCCTTAGAGTAATACAAGGCTGCAAAGATTTTTTTCCTAGTACTCAGATGATTTTCACTCAACACTGACTTCCATAATCAAAAGTTTATACTTAATGAGGTAAGAGAGAAAGAAAATCTCTGTCCTTCCAGGTAATCTAAGATTTTTTTCTCCCTAAAATTACTAAAGTCACAATTTTAAAAACCGTTATGCCTATCAACTCATGTCATCAACATGATTAGTACGAGCCTGAATGGGATTGATCAGAATCCTATTGCCAAACACAAAGAACTAGAAGTCGACCAGAGCTTTATGGAGTGCCTTTGCCGAGATCACAGGACATATTGGGGGGAGGATGAAACGGTACATTTTCCTGTTTGCACTGCTGACCGCCATCCTGAATGTTGTGTAATTGGGACAGAATCTTGATTAACTTCAAAACAATACATCTCCTGTGGAAGTGACTGAAGCCCAGTATGACTACAAACAAAACAAAGACATTCTGTGCTGCAACAGGAAAAGCCCAAGACCTTCACAGATTTCAAGGGAAAATAAGTAAGGCACAGAATGAAAAACAGGCTCATCTCATACCAGCGGAGGGCAGCCAACAGTTTCAAGTCTCCCTTTCTAATTCAGGACAGGTACTGAAGCCAGTATCTTCCACATCGCAGAGACAAATATAAATCATCTAGCTATTTTGTCTGTCCTTGACAGACAAGTGACATGCATTCACTTGTTTCTCTGCCTTTCTCAATTATGCCCATCTGGACCCAGAGCAGGTCTTTCTTTTCTGCCAAAAAAACTGTTCCATTCAGAACTTCCCCTTAATCATTCTTTCTCAAAAATCTCCATCAAAATGCTCTCAACCAGCTACACAACTTTCATGAAGAAGGAAGTCACCTGGTGACATTTTAAAAGACAAGCATCTCCAAGTTATAGTAATAATCTAGCACTTATTTTAGCTGCAAAACAAAAGTTGAAGAACTTTTAAAGACCAGACATAAATTAAAAGGAGAAAAAAATTAAGAAAGCTAACTCATTAAACAACTGAGTTGTTTCTACCTTTAACATCAATTTGGAGATAGAACCCAAGAATCCATACCAAGTGTTTTTCATCTGTTCCCAATGGATACATTCTGTTCTTTGCAACTTACACTCTCTTCTCCCCAAAGGGAAGATTAAAATATTTGTCCCTCACTATCTGTAGGGTTTTGTGTGTTGTTTTTTTTGGGGGGATTAAGAGAAAAATCATATGTTTTAATTTGAAATAGCACACTCTGCAGATTTTCTCTGATTTAACACTCCATGCAGATCCTAGGATCATTTCTCAGTAAATTATTCTTGTAGCTAGTCCCTTACAAAATTGGCAGAGGCAAGAAGCTGAGGCTGAGCAATTTTGCTTCTGTCTGTTCTTTATCACCCTTCTTTCTCCTTCAGCATCAGGATCTTTTCTTTTTTTCCTTCCCCTTTGAGTTAGTGCATTGATGTGATTCCCTCTCTGAGGTCATACTATATCATACCAAACAGCACTCAGCACTACTCAGACTCACTTTGTCGGCATTGCTTGTGCATTCTTTACAAGAGCATAGATACGTACCTCCTAAACTGTCAAGATCTTCAAGTATCCTTCCAAACCTGTAAGATACAGAGAGTTTTGACAATTACTTTGACCTACATCCACAGTAAATGAAAGTGAACACTTTCCTGTACGTGTAACACGGTTGCTTTGTTACCTTACGCTGTTGTGTACATTCAGATACTTTTCTCTTATTTCAGGTTGACTTCCTAGAGGCAGAATAACTTCCAAGTAGCTATCTTTCATTCTCCTAGGAGGGAGATCTTCCTGCCTTTTTGCCAGTAAAGTATGAAGAGCTTTTCTTTCTTGCATGGCTTGCACATGATCCCTGGTAAGAAAAATAAAAGAAGTCCGTTGGGAGCATGACAACAGAACTGCAGTGCTGGCTAAAAGGTGACACACTGAAGATTATCAAAATGAAATCTAAAAAGTAGTAAAAATAGCAAGACACAGTAAGCGTGCCTTGAAAATAAAGTGAAATGGACATAATCAGAGAGGCTAAACAAGACTATTGCAGAAAAGCTTTAGGTTTGTGTACGTGTCACAAGCACATACTTCGCACTAAAGAGTTGAACAAAATTTACCTAATTCTGAATCCTACCAAAATGGTTCCCCTTGAAAAGAAGAAATCAGACAGAATTTAACATATAAGGTTTTGTGCATATTCATATCTTCCATAGCTACTGTATCACAACTCCCCCTATGGTGACAATGTTAAAGGACCGACTGTCAACATACAATCTCTCCCAAGAAGTAAAGCAGATGTATAGTGCTGGTTAGTAGTGACAACAGAGAGAACTAATCTGCTAAGGCTTGCTATCATCCACAGATGACTTCTCCCTTTACAGCATCAGCTCATACAGCATACACTAGATCAGCAAACTAAAAGAAAAGGAAAATTAATCTATTTCCCTCTCTCTTCATACCCAGTTGTGATATGACTATATAGGAAAGTTAGGTAAAAAAAAAAAAAAAAAAAAAACAGAAAAGGGAGCACTACCCCTTCAAAGCTCCTTTTCCACCACCACCAAGTCAGAGGAGTTGCAACTCTTGCAAGGGAGTAAGGGCCAACTTACTGTTACTTCTTTTTCTGACCTACCACGTTGGTTCCTTGCACAAGTATCTCCAAGACAGAACAACCTTGTCCAACGTTTGCTCTTAACTATTTGCCCAAAGTTCCCTCCCTTTAAAAGTGCAACTTGACTGAACAAAGCAAGTATTTCATAACATCCCTAGAATCAATAACAAAGCATTAAAAACCTAAGGGTTAAACATGCAGCAGTTCCAGTACAAAGCCAAGGAGTATGCAAAACTGTGAATCCATTGCATAGAGCAAGAGAAGGCATAAAGCACTAAGTAATCAAACTTAATTTTAAACTTGTGGATTTGTGACATTCATCCAGTACTGCATGCTGCTGAGATCTGAGTGCTGCTGTGTTTAACAAAACCAATTTAAAACAAAAACAAAAACTGAAAGAAAACAACAGAAAGAACCTTTTCACTAAAAAGAAAGTTTGTTTTAAGTTTTGACTTTGGATGAATTCTGGGGATTATCCATTTAAGATGAAGACTTTTTTAGCCTGAGTTTTATTTTTGGGAGAGGAGAGGTACAAAGCAGTCACACTTCAACATATTTATATTCCCTCTTTTCTGTTTAATAATTTTTTGGGAAAAATGAATAATCCATGATCAAAGACGGTAAAAGTCTAGCAGAAAATTTCAGCTAGTTGTTTGCTTGTTTTAAATATGAAATATAGTTTACCTCATTCCAGGTTCAGAGAAAACAGAAAGATAACAACCTCCTCCAGAAGGTTAATGTTTGAAATTATGCCACTGCATAGAAATAGAATATACTAGATGATTAAGGAAAGATGCAATGTCCAAGATGATGCATCTTTATGCTTTTTAAAAGATTTGTTCCCAAGATCTTTCAGTGAAAGGTTTAAGAGAAATTAATCAGAAAGTAAAACAGAAATTTACCTACAAACACAAAGAAACCAAAAAATAAAAATTCAACTATATTCTGTTTTCACCAGTCCCATCCTGGCTCTTCTGAGGTCAGCAGCAGAACTCTTCTTGATTTCAGCTTCAGAATGTACTCTTCAATAAATGGAAATATTGGGCTCAAGGCAATAATATTTTTCAACAGATAAATACTATTACACACTGCAGTACCAGTCATACAGTAACAATACTTCATCTAATTATTAATACCTGCCCTAAACATTCTGAGAAATGACATTTTTTATTTCTGAAATGGCCATAACTCTACCTCAACTATAATTAGTAATGAGCAGATTAATAGTTTTAATTACAATTTAAGTAAAAAAAAACAAAAACCAGAATAAATATATAAGCAAGATGTTTCTTTCTAATACAAAATGCCACCAGCCTTTACAAGAGAAATCATGAATGGAAGTTTCCTTGTAGCAAAATGAATGTGCAAAGGCATTCATTCCTCAAACATGCTCCTCTCCTCGTTCCCAGCAACCTAGGCGCACGTGCATCAGTCCTTCCCTAGTTCCCCTTTCGGGACCCCCACCAAGCTATTCTCTCAGGTTTATCCTCAATTTTGTAATCTAACCTGATTAAAGCACTGGCTGTTCAGTTTCCACGTGTATCAACTCCTTGTCGCTACATGTTAAAAGTGGGATCTCAAAGGCTACGTGATCCGTGTTCTCCACACCTCACGGCATTAAAACTGTCATTCTCAAGCACCCCCAGCTGTGAGCTCCCCATTTTTACTTATCCATGGCAGCTGAAGCACAGGGTACCCTGCAAACCATTTCTGCTGTGTTGTACACAGCACAGGAGACGTACCTCTCTAAGAAAAACACTGCTGTGGTGATCCTGGCTTCAGCCTGCTCTCCTTCCAGGGTGGGGGCAGTGGGGGAAAAGAAATGGATGGAAGATGAAATTTGACCAAAGCCCTCTCAAATCTCAATCCTTGGATGGTATTTCCACATGGCGAGGTTCCTCCCCAGCCATTCTGGACTGCACAAAAGGCTTTTTTTTTTAAATCAACTTCTAGAGCCCTTTTCAGCTGACCTACCAAAAATTTCAAGCCCCTTCATGCTTAGATACTAGTATTACCAAGCAAAAATCAGCTTCCCAAATTCAGGCATTTTCTTTAGTGTGCCTATAATCCTGTTTAGACAAACCCAGCCAGAAGGCCTGGACACATCAGAGACTCCATCCAGGCAGGCCTCTACACTTCCCTATCAGTGCAGAAAGTGTGAAACAAGAGCTCAACAAACACAGACATATGGGACCAAACAAACAGCAAGAAGTGATTTCCCCAGACTGCTATACTGACTTATTCAGAATTGTTAACAACAGAGGATTACAGTCAACTCTGGCTTATTCAATGTAATGGAGAGGGATGAAGGTAACCTGCATAAAGCCAAAACATCAATGATTTTAATTGTATGCAAATTAATCTAAAATTAAGTTACAGCAGAGAAAGGAAAAGCCCAAGATGCTTTCTCCAAGACTAAAGAGACACAGACCTCAATCTGATAATTTTCCCAAGTGACATGGGTGCTGCCAGGCCATCCATAATACAGCCTGCTTCATGCTGAACCAGCTCAGCTGCCTCTGAATCCAGCGCAGGACAAACCCACCATGTTGGTAATCCGCCAACAGATAAGTCAAGAGGCAACAGCACCACAGCATTTTCAGTCAGACTCTACAGCTCTTAAAACTCCCATCAGATTCAAAGCTTATGGGAGAATCTTATAAGCATCAAGATCACATATTTTGCTCCTCCAGTGCTAAAGATCTCCTGCAAGAGAAATCTCAGAAGTCTCTGATCCACAAAGTAATAATTCAGAAACTTTGCCTGCATTACTTTTTAGCTTGGATCTTTTTTTTTCCCCCAGTTAGCAAGCTAACATTGTTAACTTCCACTACCACGACCCTGAGTTCTCCCTGGGTTTCACAAATGAAGTAAAATACATTTAATGCACACTGTACCTCCAGTTGGTAGATGCTCCCACTATATCCCTCAATCTGCTCCGCACTGGAAAAAAAAAAAAAAAAAAAAAAATCAAAGCAAATGAAGCTGAGTTCTGCAGGTGATGAACGTGAGGTTGCCTGGTGCTAAAAGGCACAATCCTCATCCCAGAACAGGAAAATTAAGCAAATTGATGCAAATAGCAGCCCAGAAATAGAAGTTCAGCCAAATTCACTGATGCTGTTAATAGGCATAGCACAATAATGGACTGAGTAACATGATTCAGTAGCTTACTGTGTACAGCCAACAAAGAAGGCAGCTCAAGTGTTTGTTAATGCAATCAAACACCCACAATGCTCATTAACTGCTGAAAGAGACAGTGGCTCAAGATCAGATTGAGAAATTTTGCTATGAAAATATTTCAGCCTCAAGACAAACTGTGGAAGTAACAAAAATCAGAAAGTCACAAAAGAACACTGAGAGGAACAGCACAGCTGGGAGACAAGCAGTGAGGAGGGTACTTTTTAAATAACCCCACCCATGAAGGGCAGGTAACGTCGCTTGGTGCCAGCTGGGTCTCACAGCCTAAACTTTTAGCAGCCTCAAAGAACACAGGGTTAAGGCACTGAAGACAGGCTTATAAAATGGCTTCTGGCATTGTTTGCACTATCAGACTTAATGATAGCTCTGCATAAGTTTTTCCTAAATTTCAAGAATAATTGGCATAAGCAGTTTTTCTCCTTGTCCCTCGGATGAGGCTATTAATTGGGCTAAGGTCCCATCAAATCTACCAAACTACTCCAGCACTACTAAGCAGGTGAATCTGTGCTATTTGGAAACACCTGAAAACAAGCAGCAACAATTCCCAGGCTCAGAACAGACAGTAAGGATTCTTGCTTATTTACAGATATTTTTATACCAGGAGGTTCAAATATTAGGACAAAATAGCTAGGAAGAGAGCACAGAAGGGCTACCAAAAAATCCCCAAATTTTACAGGGAAACAGAAAGAGGGCTGCTGTGACTCACAAGCTGATCCTTTATACTTTCAGGTTATTAGACATCACCAGGCATGGCACATTCCAAACTCAATGCCCAGTCAGAGTATTCACAGTGATGAGCAAGCTGTCCTGTGAACCCTAGAGCAAGCAGAGCCTGATTTCCTAGGTATTTAAATCACATACCCCTCTCTCAGCCAGATCCACTGGAATATCCCTAACCTCCGCCTTCTCATTCCTTCCCTTGCAACACCCTCAGCTCCCCTCCCTATGCTCACAGTCTGCTTTTGTGTTGCCTGCCCTCAGAGAAGCACCAGCAAGAGCTGTGGTTAGCCCAGAGAAAGGCTGCCAGCCAGACAGCCAGCACATAGATCCCAGTCACTCACCAACTGCCAGCAAACACCACGGTCCCTGGCTGACCCCAGCACTAGCTCTGGCACCCTAATGAACCTCTGTTTCAGAAGCCAGTTTTCACAAAGCCTGTGGTGACACATTTCTCTTCAAGATCTGGGCTTGTCTGTTTTGGCTGACATCAAGCAACAAAAGGTTCTGGAAGAACAGGGGGACAAGGAGATAGGAAAAGACAAAATAGATGGCTTAGGCCTCATTTCTTTAGGAAATCAGGCCAAAAACATATTTTGAAATTAGAAGACTTCCACTACTAATTCTAAGAACAAAAAAATTTTCAATGAAAGAAACTGATTGAAAACCTTTGAGTTGATTTTTTTTTTAAGGGTGGAAGGTCTGATTGGTTCTTTCTTAAGAAGCAGCGAGCTTCTTTACAGAATAGACACTACTTTCTTGTTACTCATACTCCACCTGTGAAGCTGCCATAGCATGCATTTGATCAATACAGTGCTAGCAGAAACACTGTTACAGCTTCTAGAACACAAAACCTCAATTTTCCAACAGTGTGCAGACTGTGCTGGGATGGAGGGGCAATAAACAGCACTTTCTCTTTTTTTAAACTAAGTTCATCTTCCTTTTCAACTCTAAAGAGGTAAAAAGCTCTGAAAAAAATCTTGGGTCCAAACCTGCACACGTGTATACATGCTGTTAGTCCCATTTAATACTTCTGATTTCAATTTCATGCACAGAAGTAAACATTTGCCAGGCTGAGACCACTTAATTTTTATTTTAAAAATAAAAGGGACAAAGCATAAAAGTGTTTCTAAAACGTTGCCAAGCTAAATCTAGTCCATTTCACAACCTCCTAAGTACATAGTTTTTATCTTCTTTTCCCCCTGGGAAAGTTGTATTGCTCTTCTAGATATTGGTTATCTTACAACAGAAATTTAAGTAAGTAATTAAGCACAAAAATGCGTAAACTCTTTCTCTTTTCTTATTTGGCAAATGTCTTAAATGTGCAAAACAATTACAGCAAAAGGGGTTTATCCATCACCGTTGTCATCACGTTGTGTGTTTCACAGTATCTTGCAAACCTGGATCAGTGGATGGTTCAGGGCAGAGCAGCAGGGTCTGAGCCCTGTGCTGTGCTGTGAGGAAGGGCAGGAGGGCAGCTGCACAAGACCACCACACTCATCTCTGCCAATGGGGTCCCTGCGCCGCTGCCTCCCTGGGCAGCATCCAGGTGCAGGTAGAACACCACGATGGATTTTACAACCGCTTTTGTTACAGAGCTTGGTCTGGGCTTCAGAAAAAGATGTAGATTCAAATGTCTCAAATGAAGCCAAGTACTGCAGGGGTTGCTGCATAAGAGATTCTGTATCCCACAAGCCTCTTAGAGGCGTGTTATCCCGCACAGCACCAGAAACAGGGCGCGCTGACAGAGATCTAGTGCAACAATATTGCCACAAGTAAGGTCAGAGCCATTCCCTGAAGGCAAAGAGGCTTTAAGCAAGTCGACAGAGAGGAATAATAGCATTTCCTTTCTCGTGAATGCTGAAGTAAGGAAAAACAGTAGCTGAGTAAGTTTAGTGTTCTAGCAAATATTAAAATATGTTCAGATTACCACAACACACCATTATTCACATGAATGGGTAAGTGCCCTGTGGAGCGGAAAACACAGGTTAGATTAACAATTAAAAGAAACAATGCAAATTACATCTAGTAAGGAGTCACCTGATTATTCTACCTGCTTCAGTTCCATTTACACACATGTTCCTTAATTTTCGTGAGCAACTGTAGGCAACCTGTCCTTGCCTGATTTACAGCCAGTACCTCTGTGTTTTAAATTGAGTCCCTCCCTTCTTTCAAAGCCAGCTTTCCACTTCCTTTGCCTGTGCAGCATCTGCTTGCAATTTAATTCCCATCAGTTCTTCAAACTTGCTGGTACCATATGCTGTCAACAAACACTATTAACTTTGGAAAGAGTATCTGGAGCATTTTTGAAGAAGCAGGATGAGAGTTATCTCAGAGGAAACTTCCAAACTCCTGCTTGGTGAAGTCCTTGGGAGAACCATGGAAAAAGTGAGGGCATTCACAACTGGCACCCAAAGCTGGGAGGAAGCATGTGAAAAGCTAGCAAGAATAAGTATTTGGTGTTTTGTGAAAGCACAGATACCAAATTAAAGGAAACCACTTTACACATGAGCAAAAGTTTGTGTAACTTTATTTAAATGTTACAAATTTGGAATAGAATCTCAAATATTTACAGTTATTATAGTCCAAAAAATATTAGTGTTCCTTGGAAATAAGTCAAAAGCAAGGCCAGGGTGGCCTAACTGCTTCACTATTTTTACTAGCCTTCTAGGTGGTATCATTATCAAATATCCAAATAAAAAAGCAGGGAAATATTTGCAAGTATGCAATTTTCGTCTGTATCCTTGCTTCTCTCCTTTAACCTCACAAATTACTATTTACTAACAATAATGAAAAAAAAAAGTTCTCTAACCCTCATTTTCTCTTTTACTGGATAACTTGTGGTTTCTGTTTACAGAACAAAGGGGAAAAGATCTCAGAAACAAGCAGAACTCCATGAAGGAATTGTTTGTACCTGGCTCCAGGCCTTTTCCTCCTTCCCTTTTCTCAGCATATGGGATTACAATGCAAGAAAACTGTTTTAAAAGCTTCTGAAATGGGAACATTATGGTTTCTTACTATTAAAGCATTAAAACAATCTTTCAACACAAAGCTCTATTGACAAGAGCATTTTCACGAGGCAATGCTGCTGATCTGATTAAAAGATTTCTCTAAGTTTCCAAAATTCACTGTATTGACACATTAAAAGTTCTGTAAGACATTATTTCCACTCAGTTGCTCCATTTTTTGGCCATTCTCTCCAGGCCCCATAGTATCTGTCTGTCCTACACTGACTTTCTATCCAGAGACAACTCAATAAGCAGTTGTCCCTCCAGAAAAGAATCAC